ACGTCGGTGAATTAAGGATTTATTAAATGTTGCAACTGATTACTTAAAATGATGAATAACTGGGACCAGTGGACGTCAGCTCATTCAGTAGATTCACAAAAAATTTTTGTCCACTTGGGGGCAACGGTGACGTACTATCACTGTATGAGGATGTTATGGTGAGTTTGTGAGAGAACAGCTGTATGTTTACACAAGATTTATAGTCGATGCTGAATCCAGCTGCTGAGGTTGAATTATACAGTCAATGTGTAGAAAAACACACAAATAAAAGCTGAAAGACTGACTGGTTATAATCCTCTGTGAGTACATTTAATCCATTATTAACAAAAAAACAACTGCCTCAGTGTGGCTTCAATTATAAATAAACACCAAATGTTGTGTTATTCTTACAGTACCTCCTCTGGAGCGGTCTGACAGGTGATCAAGGCATCGAGAAAGTCGAACATATACTGGAAAGGAAAAACACACAGCTTGAATATGGATCCTGCCATAGGAAACCTTTTCATGATTAAACATGTTTGTGCAGGCGAACAGACGGAGTTCATGCAGCGTGAATGTGATCTTTAATAAAACATTCAAAACACGCGTGTTGGTGCAGAGAGAAGCTTACCGGGGAGAGGAACTTATAGGTGAGGTGTGTGTTCTCTGCCATGACGTCGGCTGCGAGGTCGAAGTACTGAGAGAGAGAGAGAGAGGATCCAGCAGTGACATTAATACCATTTTAATGAAAGAGCTGCACCTCTCTGTGTGTTTTCAGCTCTTTCCACAGATTCTCACGCCACACGCCTCCAAATCCCTCTGAAAACACAGTTACTCCCGGCGTGCGCCCTCACCGTCGTACCGTATGGTGGAAAGTGCTGACGTGGTGTTTGTTTTCGAGGGAGAACGCCACGACAGTTCTGTGTATAATAACGACAGCTCCATCGTATCGTTCAGTGTAACAACGCTGCTGTTAACAAGGTTATTACAGCGAGCCATCGGTTTAAAAATACGACTGAAATGAATAAATAAATCACCAATCAATCAGCTGCTGTTCATGGTGAGTCACTCTCTTCAAACAGGGGATTTCTTTTGCTGTAGAACTGTAAATGTATTTTTGATGTTATTGATCTCTGCACCAGGTTGCACCAGCTGTACAGAGCCAGTCTAAAATTCATCTAAAACACACTTTTTATAGCTGTCGTGTCGTCCATCTTTATATGTGTTGATGGTTTGGATGTAAAGTCATAATTAAGGCAAGTGTCCAGTCAACAATAATATATACTTCCATCGTGCTCATTAGCTTCCTCACTGGTCTCAGCCACTTAACATCGTAGCACATCGTAGTGAGCTCGAACGATACTGAAATATCATATCAATAAGCCTCCACTGCATCACTGTGTTGCTAAATTGCTTGAAAAAACTGCTGTTTTACCATCAGTGTGTACAATTCTGTGACATTTTATGATTTAAATGATAAATTAGTTATCTTGTAATATGAGAATGCATCAATCACAACTTAGTACTTATTTACATTATAATTATGTTAAGTTTGCACACAGCTGCTGCAACAGGCTGCTGGACTGAAAGCAGAGATGTTTGGCTTTGACTGAGGTCAGTAATCGTCCCTTTGAGAGACAAAGGTATTTTGTGTGAATGTGGATGTTTGTCTCTAAACGTGGTGTGAAATTGGCTACGACACAAACTTTGGAATAAAAACCTGCACTTTTGTCCAACCGCTGCAGGCTGGATGGGAAAGTTCTGTGTAATTAAGCCCGGCCGGCATTACCTGCCATCTCTGAATCCACCATTTACTGCAGGCCAGGGTCGACTACAGCTCCCCATCGACCCTCTGAAGTGAATCATTTAGATTTATTCATTAAGCCGTTGTTTTGTCCAAAGCAACACAAACGAGTGAAAGTGATTTTCATGCAGCAGAAGCTTCTGGATTTCTCTTTGTTTATCGTTGAAGACTAGTATGTTAGGTTTCTAGGTTTAAGAAATCTTTTCCCAGCACATTCATCATATAATTTACCAGTAGGCCAAGTATTCACTTCTTTTTTAAAGATACAGGGTTCATGAAGTGTCTCAGGTTCATTACAGGTCGGTGGTCTGCCGGCGAGCTTGGCTGTTCTCACCACAGCAGATTGTTCCACTGTGGTCTCTGGCGCAAGATTACAACCACAGCCCAGAGCCGCTCAAATCAAGCAGAATTTATTCTTCCAGGACAACATAAATTATTTCCAGGATTTCTGGTAATTTTAATCAAATTCCAGGTGTTCCCATGACTGGAAAACTAGTCTCTCAATGTCCAGGTTTTCCAGGACGACGGATGAAAAGACGTCTACTAAAAACTACATTTTGTGGAATTGTTAATATAAGATTATAACCTTTATAGTGGTATTTCAGGGCACAATCCTTTACAGTTCGTTAACCTCCTCCTACAACCTGGATTGCTAGATTAGGATTCCTTGCTCGATGATACTTAAAGCCACAGTTGATCCAGTCTGGGACCCCCTCCAGGTTCAGGACAGGCTGTAACCTTCGGGGGCCAGTCTGTTGCGTACCTCGTGTTTGCAGTAGAGCAGCAGCAGGTTTCCGAAGGTGACGGGGGGGAAGGACGGCTGCTGCAGCAGGAACGCCAGCTTCTCGAAACCCTCCGACGGCTTCGTGTCCATGTTCACCAGAGCCTGGTTGTGGAGGGTCACCGGGTCCAGCTCCTGCCAAAAACACACAAACACACATATCACAGTCAGGGGTTAGACGAATTATTGAAGAATACACACAGTAGGCCTCGGTCTCAGCCTCTGGTTTACTTCTGTGAGGAAGAGTAGATGTAAAGTAAATACTCTAATAGAACAATGGCCAAGTATCAGGAACAAGAAAACTCAGAATCTGTACAAAAAGAAGAATTTTAAGACTGTAAGTTCGTCAAAGATGATAAAAAAACACATAATCCAGACAGAGAATTAAATAAAAAGTTCCCTAAACAGGAAATAATCCGCTCAAAATTAATTCGTATTACACAAACTTCGTCCAGTTACTGAGTTCACTAAATGGATTAATGGTTGTTTAAATGGTTGTTCATTAATTATCCAATAATATTATAATAAATATCTCAGGGTCGTCAAAAAAGAAGCTTACTAAGTCTGTAAAATGATCAGAAATACATAATACACAGAGAATTGTATAACAAGTTTCTTAAAAATATCTGGAAAACTCATCTCTGATCAATATTCACAGGAAATAATCTGCTCTGAA